CGCGCTCTCTGTTAGCACCAAGAACGAAAGCGACGCAACCAAAATCGACGTGGTAATCGCATGCATTGCGTTGAGAAGTTCCTCTCCTAAACTACAATTACCTGCAGAAGCGAGCACTACGCATAATAAGCACTAATGATTTATCTTATAGACAGGCTTTAGAAGTTTTTAACAAACCTACCTTGTATGAGGAGAGAGGCGATTGGTAACTCAATGTTTCAAGAGGTAAGTAATAACAACAATCACAAGCTTTATTCGCTACCTTGGCACGTTGCGAACACGGAAAAATCGCAAGTTCCAAGTCCCTCGTTTTAAAACCAATCGTTTTTGAGACAGTTTTATTGTAAGCCATTGCCGATAGCACGTCCTTGTACAACTCATATATATAAATTGATCTGATTTCGAATAATTTTAGTTGTATCTTAATTAATTTAGTGTTTACATAATGATAAGCTTTATTATTGTTTAATTCTTAAGAATTAACTTTATTAATTTTCATTATATAATTTACAGTTATGACGGAAGCGTGACATAGCATGACATAACGTGACAAGAAAGCACTACTATTATTAATATTAAGTGAAAGACAAGCTCCTTTGAACATTAGACTTGATTGCGAAACAGTGTAATAAGATCGGCTTTTCAGGGGTGTGTGTTTTCGAGAGAGATAGAGCGAGATAGCGAACCAAAGATATCTGTAATCAGGGAAAACAACAGTAAACCAGTTTGAGACTTAAACCTGTGACTTATTTGTCGGATACCCGTTCCCGACAGTTATGATTAATTTACGTTTTACATTTGTAAAAATTATCGTAATTCAGCCCTCGGGCTGCAAGGGTAATTTTAATAAAACTATCTATTTATCTAGTCTATCTAAAAAGAGAAAGAAGGGTTTGAGTATAACAGAGTCGCATCCGTTATTCAGTATTGAGTTGAAAATCCTCGTTCCCTCCGATACAGACATACTCAAAATGGTCCTCTCGGCGTTGTCTGAACGACAAGTCGGTCAACCACAGGTGGCCCAAGCTCCAGCTGTGAGATGATCATCTTACGCAATAACGGTGATGGCGGACGTATAAGAGTTTGTATGGGAATATTTACGACCGCTCTAAGGAATAAAAAAAATACGTCAAATTCTCTATAAAAATACCTCACCTTACTTCCACAGCGTATCGTTTGTTATCTGACCGCTAACTTTGAAGAAAATAACTCATTTTAGCGAGTTGTCCATTTCGAGGTTTTCTACGTACATAAAAAAAGCCCAAGGATGAACACTCCATTTCCGAACGCCCGATCCGAGCTTTTCTTAATTACGTTGAAAACCTCGAAATGGACAACTCATTAAAATGGGCTCTTTTCATCAAAGTAAGTGGTCAGTCAACAAGCGATACACTGTGGAAGTAAGGTGAGGTATTTTTATTGAGAATTTGACGTTTTTTTTTATTCCTTAGAGCGGTTGTAAATATTCCCAAACAAACTCTTTGACTGGTATGGCGCAAGATGATCATGTTACAGCTGGAGCTTGGGCCGCTCTCAGCCTGAAGATGTGTTTAATACAGTTCTTTTCTATACGCGCGGAAAGATCGCGCAGTTTTATCCATCGTATGAGTGTTTTAGCCCCCTTTTATCAATTGTGTCTTAGAGAAAAACACTTAAATGTGGCGGTATCCTTTACTGTGACCTCTCTGCCTTCATCTCGCGAGGGGCGCAGGCGTTACCTTCAAATTGGACACTAATTTGTGAGGGAGTTTTTTTCGAAACATCCACTAGAAAGTGGTGACTTTACCCTTAAACAACTGGCATTTTCATCTTGACCCTGACGAGTATTCACAAGTTTAGGATGATAACGATTTTAGTGTAAACAGGAGACAGTCAACGATTGCAACTAGCGGAGCGAGATCTCCGATCTTTGATACCACTTGATCAATGTTCTGTAATACTGGCGACAAATATGCCTATGATTGTTCGGCAAACTCACTATAGCAACGTTCTAAAGAGACAGATTGCAATTTTGCTTAATCCTCAAGGCATTTCCCTCGTCACCACATCGCCTCCTTGACCATTTTTACACCCGTCCGAGAGATTAGTACCCGAAAAAAGAGCCCGAAATTGATGTGAAAAAATATCAATTCTTAATTCTGGTAAAATTTATCTGAAACTCACCAAGATTGCCGGTTCCAATAATGCTCAAATACCTTTAATCCTCCTCAGAGTACGCTTTATGGCTCGGTTCCAAATATGAATTCTGCTGGACAGGAAACATTACACCCTCGCACCCTGACGTTCACCGCAAGCACGACAACCGTGACGCGATGTCACGGTTAGTCACGTTTTCTATCAGTAGGTCAGTGTGTGCTTTCAGGAAATGAAATGGGTATCAAGGCAAATGTCAAAGGTCAAATATGCTCTAGTCGAAGAAGAAAAAAGTGTCCACTTATAAAAGAAGACCTCTCGAAAAAATGACGAGGTGTGTGACGACCAGAAACATTAAGTACAAACACACGATGAGATTTAACAATATTAACTATTTCATACATTTCTTGACAACTTAAGAAAAATATTCATAATCAATTAAACAGTAATTAACTGTGTTTTTTATTACCTTAATCCATTTTTTAAATATCTTTCACCTTCACATTTGCTCCACTCAGCAGTTGAACAATCGAAAATCTTAATTATCGTATCCGTTTCCCTAACAAATAACAGAATGTAATTCAAGCTGTCATTGATATGAAGTACAAGTATGATTAACCGGATAGTAAAGTGTGATCTCATAAGCATCTAAAGTATTGGTAACAGTTCATGTTATGTATCTATAATATAAACACAACAATATTGTCATGCAATTTCTGTCGCGCGATAAGCGTGACAAACAATAGCAAGAGCACTGTAACTTTTTATAAATAATTAAGAAAGACAGCTATCAGTTTCTAAGTGATAACAAAGATAGCGTTTAGACTTTACTTTCAGTCTTGCCAATATAACCAAACAAATATATAAGTATCATGCGTTCACACTGTATGGTTTAAAGCAAGTTTGTGCTGTCCCAGAGCGGTATGAGTTTCAAAAAACCTTCCACATCGCACACAGGCCCAGTGGAAAAGCTCTTCACTGTGCTGATTCAGACTGACTTTGGACTGAAAGCTCTTAAAACAAACGCCACAAGTGTACAAGACATCTACAAACCGCGATGGATCCCTCAAACGACCGGTACGAACGCAATAGACACGCTGTAAAAACGCTTGTCTTTTTTTAAACCACAAGGTGGAGCTAAAATGGAAACCGTACTCTGAACCAGAATACTCTGACGTCTCAGAATTTCGGCGGCTGCGACTCCGCTCTTCTAGGCTGTCAACGCTTTGCTGTCGAATCCAAAGAGTGGTGCCTGCATACAATTCCCTTTGCACACGTGGCTCTTTGTGTCTACAGTATGGGTGATAACGCTTCCTACATCTTCTCCGTCTAGTTGTACGACTTCCACAATGCTTAACACTCTTTTCATTGTGCTGTGAACCGCTCCGGCCTCTCCTTTGCAAATCTTGTCGGGTTTTCCTTTCATCCTCTTCGTGATAAATTTCGACCTCTCTTGACGGAGTTCGCCGTGTTGTGATTCGCAAGTTGTCACCTTCCCACGTGAACGTACGGTTTTTTTCTGCCAGAGCTGCAGAACCATAGAGCAAGGTGGGATATTCAGAGATATTTTCTTGGTACTCAACTCTCTTAGTTTTCACATAGCGACATTTTCCAATCTTTTCCAGCTCTTTTAAGACCCACAGTCGCCGGTTGTTTAGAGTGAACCATTCCCATTTCTCGGGATAGAAAACAACCTCAATTGCAGGGACATCCTCCAACAGAATTTCTCCATTCTTTATCTGAGTGAAGGTCTCCGAGAGGGGAATTCCGTTGTCAAATTCCGATGCGAGTAAGTTCTTCGTGAAGCGTATTTCAGAAGGCTTCAAGAGGACCATGTACACGAAACTCATCTTGAAATTATTGCAATACTTGAATTCAAACGAGTTGTCAAACACATTGTACCACGTGAAAAGATTGGCGAGAAGCACTCCCTGGGGAGTCTTGCAAAAATGTACTCGGCAGGGGTGGGAGAGAGGAGGACAAAAGTTTCCAGGTTTTCATCTACTGCTCTTCATATTCACAGTCATCCCTTCTATTTCTCGTAGAGGAGAAAGAAAGAAACAAAACATAGTGAAAAAAAAATTAATCAGGCGACAAAAAAAACCCCATGAGAGAAAGACCAGAAAATTAAATTCGTGAAAGATAATGTGGTCACCATTGATGATAAAACAACAAAGAAAAGGAAATTTTTAAAAAATTAAGTGAGTTTGATAAAATAAAAGAGATTTTTGATGAAACTGTTTTAAGGTAAGGGGCTATGACAAAGGCTGAGTACATGTACACAAATTTCACCCGTGTAGGGTAGGGGTAAGAGCTAGTACCCAATCTCTTTCAACTTTCTCGGAGTTTGAAAGCTTCAACTAACAGTGTAGCATGGCCAAAGCATTTTCGTTTCTTTTCGTTATTTTGAGCTATTCAAGCTATTTATCGATAGCTATAGAGGTGGAACCAACTCCTGAAGAGTGGGTGAATCCTTGGGATATGACTAAATACGATGCAGCTGCTAAAACCATTGATCACGGGGTGAGTTTTTTTCATATTCGTGTACATTTACTTCCGCGCGAAGACCGAATCCATCTTTTTAGCGTTATCAAATAAACAATTGTATCGCGTCGTTCGCTGGCAATGCTGGTTTTCTCCTGCTCAGTGCAGACCTGTGACCTCTTAAATGAACCTGGTGAAAACGATGAAACGATTAGAGGGACGAGCTTTTAAGTTTGTGGGCCGATTAGAGAGATCGTAGTTGTTTCAACTAAAATCCTGGTTATCGGGCTAACCCACTATGAAACTGAGTGATTCCGGTTGATTATTGATACAAACTTCCACAATTTCACAATGAGGTGGAAATGTGTATAGTTAAAAGTAACAGTTGATTTAGATTTTTCTTTTCTTTTGCTTTAAGTGATGTGAGTGCAATCAATTGGGGTAATCAGTTATATCATTTTTCATTTGCAGGACACTTTAAGTGGCCTTCCTAAAGATGGTGATTCCAGTCCTAACCACAGTGCGTCCATCGCCAGGCTTCAAGTAAAGCTAACACAGTGTCAGAAAGATTTGGAAAAGCTGCCTGCTCAGTGCCAGGCATGTGCTGAGAAAACTGTTGACAATGCCTCACCATGTGAAACGCCACACTTTAAGAGGGTAATCAGAATCATATTAGGCAATCTTGAAGATCGTGGTGATCATGATGTGACAATTACTGCTTCAAAAGATGACACTGCAACCTTAGAAAAATTCATCAAATCTGATGACGGAAACATCCAGGATGCCGCAGAAGTAGTCACTACTATCATATCTAACTTTAAAAGCAAAGGTAGCATGTATGACTTTAACCAATGGGACTCATCATCCTTCACTTATGTAACTAAAGAGGCAGTTCTTGTCCTGGCAGCACTGTTTTTTGTGCTCTGTGCTGCAGTGGTTTTTGAGAGGTATACAACTTTAACTTGGCGGAAGCAACTTTGGTGTGTTCTTTTCCTGTGCTTTGCTGTAAGTATTCCGTGGGAGTGGTACCATCTGTACAGAAAGGCATTTGCGTCTAAACAAGCACAGATGGAAAAGGAGATTCCCAAGGAGTGCCGGCCAGATCATCAGTTACGACCACTTGAGTCTCTAGTACTTTGGTTTAGGAACTCATTTACCTTTACAGATGACATGTGTATCAAATACCAGGAGACATTGCTTGTTGATCCATTCTGGGAAATCTCTCCCTCTAAAGTAAGTATATTTTCATTGAGGTAATCTTGGATCCTTTCTCTCCCAAGATCTCATGAGTAATTCTCATTCCTGCCTGTCACACATGTCAAATGATGTTAGTTTGGATAACTTAGTTTTGGATCAACTAATTATCACCTAATTGATATTGTACTATATTCTCATCTATGCTTGATATTGAATTGATATTGTAAGGAGAAATTCTGTCTTGATCACTCATGGGAGTTAAATGAATTACAGCAGCTCTCTAAAAGAACTCTTACTGCATCTCAAGCCATCTGTTTAGATTTAAACTAAAACTTGTTTATAATTCATATTTTGAATTCCAATCTTGGGGTCGGTCTTTTGTACTTGCCTCGGTTCTCGTCAAGTTTTCATAACATAAATCAATGCTGTGATTTTTGTTCTCTTTATGCACTGAAGATCATGGGATTTACTCTTTCAGAATTTTGATTTGTTTACAAAAATGTTTACAATCCTACACACTAAGCACCCTCTTAGAAATGGTGATGTCCATGCTTAACTTTGTGATGGTTGTGTTAACTAAAAGTGACAAACTGAATTGCGGTGATTTCGCCAACGAGTGATTTCGCCAACATCACATTCACCAATGTCTTTGGTCGCTTCGCCAATGCGATGAGTCACTTCGCCAACGTCCTACTGGTCACTTCGCCAACGCCAAATATCTAGTAATAACTTAGTAATAACTTAGTAAATATGCGCTGGAGTTATAGAATTAGTAGTAGTAGTAGTAGTCTACAATGTATTTATATAAATCTCTGTTCTAGAAGTCTCAAAGGTAATTATATAAATCTCTGTTATTGACAAATAAACCTTATAGAAGAACTTAAGGAAAAGGTTGCACATGCAAGTTTATTGCTCTAAGTTAAATTCAGCAACATACAGCGCTGGTGACGCGTGGCGTGCCGTGCATTTATGTGGGCCCACTGTGTTTTAAGTTGCGCGTACAAGAGAAAGAAACTAAGTCTGAACAAAATAACGGAAGGAAACTAAGTTCGAACGGGGAAATCAAGTCAGCTCAGTCAAGTAAATAACACACAGAAGCAAGAAGAAGTAATGGTAAATTTTTATTTAGAGTAAACTAATACATTGGCAAAGTGACCAGTAGGACGTTGGCGAAGCGACTTTTTGCTTTGGCGAAGCGACCTAAGACGTTGGCAAACGTGACATTGGCGAACGTGATGTTGGCGAAATCACTCGTTGGCGAAATCACCAGATACCGACAAACTAATCATAATGTCAGATATAACTATTGAGTTTGGGATCAAGTATTGAAACAATACAGTTAATTGAGACTGTTTTAATCAAGGGGCAAATATGCAAAGCAAGTTTCAGATTGTGTTTAAATCAGTGACATCTATATGAACTCTTTCAGGCAATTTCTGCAACAGTGGCCAGTATCATTGCTCAGCCATTTGAACACATTGCAGAGGCCTTGGGCAAGAGTTTTCGAGCATTGTTCAGAGAGGTTCCATTGCAATGGCAGCCGTTTGTGTTTATTGCTGTAATCTTTTTAATTGTTGTCATCATTTTCACAATTAGTGGATTACAAATAAGGCTGCCATTTGTAACAATCGCAACTACCACTGCCCCTGCCTTGCCTGGAAATATCCATGGAAATCTGCAACAGCTTCAGGACCAACTCCAGAATGTTGTGCATCACTTAAATGATGTGCCTGCACAACCCAGAGGTGCAATTGATAATGCTCTCTTACAAGAGGACATCCACAATCGTTTAGGGCAGGTTTATGATGTTTTGAATGCCATAAATGAAAGACAACAGAGATTGGAAGAGGACATGCAAAGAGCCCAGCCTATGATTCAACAAGCTCCTCAGCCAGCACCAGAGGGCCTTGGTCATGTGGAGGCTGGTGCTACTGTGGTTGGGGCACAGGAAGAGAGACAGCCTGTCTCAGAAACACACCCTGTTGCTGCAACAACTTGCGCTGTTACAGAGACACACCCTGTTTCAGAGACTTCCGATCCAAAAACTCCTGTTCAGAATATAGATACTGCTCATGTGAGGGATTTTGACTTCAAGGAATCTTGATATATTCTTATGTAAGGTTGATTCTTTGCATATGAATGAATGAGATCAGTAAAGTTGTTCAATCCCTGCAAGAAGCTAAAGGAAAGTGCAAAAGACCAACACTCTAATTTATTCCTGGCTTGTTCTGATAAAATTGGTCAGGGTGCCTTAGCATAGGAGTATAACAGGAGAAATTTGACAAGTAAATAATCCAGAAGAAGTACTGTTAGTAGTACACTTACATAAGGTTTTAACAGCTTTAATTTTTGTTGTTGAAATTCCACTACTGAATTTCTTTCAGTGTTAAATTAATTTTATGTAAGAAAATAAATAGTGATGTAGTCACCTATGAAATGTGAACAGTTCTCAACTATAATTCAATAAGTTGTATGTCTTCCTGTGATGTGATTTGTAACTCTCCCTACTGGTTGCCATACCTATTTTTGCTAGTTTGTTGAGAGCATTCAGTGTGATATCTAGGAGAAATCCTCTGGCTAATAAGTTTTTGTTATTTCTTCACCTTAATACTGGGTAATGTAATGACAATGTAGGGAAAGTAACAAAGTAGTAAGTGCTGCAGTATAGTTAGTGAACTCAAGTGTTCAACACCAGGAATCTCTAGTTCAGCCTCAGGCTGTTGATTAAGAATCAAAGTGGAAAAAAAATTGCAGGTTAAATCTTGATGGACTGAGATTTTTTGTATATTGTGAAGTGAAGATTATGCCTTTGTTACTTTACCCTTTTTTTCATTTTAGTGTTTCCTAATGAAAACCCTGCAACTCTACTGATTTTGGATAACTAAGGTTTGAGGTTTTTTTTCAGAACTTTTCTGTTTTTAAGGAAAAAAATTTAATGTGATTGAGTTGTTACTCTCATTTGATAATCTCCTATCAGTATGCTAATGCAGTAGATAGCTGAAGATTTTATTTACTAACCATGTATTAGTAAAAAATGTTCATGCATTAAGAACAAGGCGTTTTTCTTTCATTGAGTGTCTCTGAGTAATTATGAACAGTATCTATGAATGTAGCAAGTTTTTCTGGTTCATGATCTGGATGCATCCCATGTCCCAGATTAGCAATGTATCGTTGGGTACCAAACTTCCTCAACATGTCTTTCACTGCATGTACTATGTCCTCCTGCAATTAGATATTTGCAATAAAAAATAAAAATATCAGTTAGACTTTTCAACCAGATTTAGCTGAGGCACTTGTAAAATTATGAGTTATGGTTCTTCCTTATAGATAGGATTTTGTTCTTTCAAACTTACCTGTTGAACAACAAAACTAAAAGGACCTTTTGTCTTCTCTTGAAAAATTGAAATTTTTTTTTGACATGATTGGGTCAAATTTTAAAGTGAACATCTCTATAAAGGTGAATGACTGCTATAAATGAAAGCAAATAGTGTTCACAAATAAGACATTGGGTAGAAAAAGACCTTGAAATACTGAGAAAGACAATCACTTACATGACTGCTGTACAGACAGGCTGGATCAAGATTCCCTTGAAGTGTCACTGTTGGTGCAACAATCCTGCCAAATAGAAAATCATGCCCAAAATTTTTGTTGAACACTACTGGTAACTTTTTCAGACAAGTAAAAATTGTGTGTAAAATCCATGACTGACTTCCTAGATCCACAAAAGCAAAGATTTATGGAGCATCAGCTCATACTTGTCGCTGATTATAACCATGATTGGCTCATCCAGAACACTCAATCATGGGACACAGCATAACCAGTGTGTAGTCATAAGGGTGTTGGCTAATATCAGCTGATATAAATCTTATTTGTGGTTTAGTAAGGAGGTGTTATGATCTAACCTTGCATCTTTTGCTGACATTGTCCAGTCCAGACTGATAACATCATATCCAATTTGAGAGAGGTCTTTGATGGCATAGTGTGCACCCTTGGCAAAAATAGTCTAACAAAAAAAAAAGGTAAATGTTCTAAACACCTGTGCAGTCAACAATACGTAATTATTAATTCCAAATCATAAGTTTTAAAAATGACCCCTAGTTCAGTCCTTACCATTGGAACCGCATCAGGTCCTAACTTTTCTTTGACTTTTTCAGCTATTTGTTTGAGGTACGGCAGTGAACACAGCATGAATGTATCATAGCCAATAACCTCTGCATGAGACTCAAACACTTGTAACATCTATGAAGGAAAGAAAACAGAGGCAATTATAACATAATTATAAATGAATTGTTCATTGTTTTTGCTGTTTCTAAAATTGCAGACCATTGTAACCAGTTAATCCCAGATGTTTATTGGAAACTGTTTAGAATATAGTCTGTGATACATAATTTTGTATTCCTTTATAGAGGGCAGGGGGATCCTTTAGATAGTTGGTGGCCCATCACTGCTAGATCTTGTGCCATTTTCTAGGTATGAAGTTACTGGGAGTATTATGACTCCCACTGGATGGGACATTAGTTGATTGCAGGTTTCACCCACCCACCTACCCACCCACAGAAATTGCTCAAGTTTCTGATTTATCCTTTGGTGGTACTTGGTGATCACTTCTTGATCTGGAGTACAATATGCTGGAAGCCGGGCTACCAAGTCTCCTGCATCTTTTTGTTCATAGTTTGGGGAAAAAAGAATCTTTCCATACATAAGTACAAAGTTGACAGTGCTCATCATGAATTATAACCATTTTCCTTATCAAGCAGTCACTTTTAATCCACATCATGAGTGACTAAATTGTGAGACAAATTACACTTTTTAAGCTATGTAAAGCACTTTTTCACCTGTGCTCCAGCACGAACTTGTAGAACCAAGTAATCTACAATCAAATCAGTCATCTGTTGTAACAGCTTGCTAGAAACTTCCAAATGTTGGTTTAAGAATTTACGAGCTTTATTAAAAGTTTTGCTGCTCTCTCCTTCAATCATGTAACACATTAAAGTCCACTGTGAAACAAGGAATAAAATATATAGTAAGCAGAGGCTCATATGATAAAACTATCTTTAAGTTAGCAGTAACATCTTAAAAACTAGTAGTATCATCTTAAAATCTGTTAATTGACCCTTTAACTCCCAAGATTTCATTAGTAATTCTTGCTACTGTCTGCGATTCAATCTATGTGATGTTAATTTGGAGAATTTGGAATTGGATCAACCATCCATTCCCTAATTGATATTTTTCTTTATTCTCATTACTTGTCTGCTTGATATTGTACTGATAGAGTAAGGAGAAATTCTGTCTTGGTCACTGGTGGGACTGTGGAGAAGAGAACAAAAAATTGTGTTTTCTTACCGGAGCTCCTGTAAAACCAATGAGAGGAACTTTTCCTTCAAGTTTGTTCCTTGTTAGAGTTATTGCTTGGAAAACATATCCAAGAGTCTTCTCTAAATCAACTTCTTGTACAAGTTTCTGTGGAAGAAATCACCTTGTTCATTCTTTTGTCTATACCTTACCCTCTATTAATAATTCTAGAATTAGGAAATTGCAGAGAAGTGTGACTTGTTTCTTGGAGATGAATTTTTCAAACGCATTCTATTCATACCTCAATGTCACTTGGTTCCCTCAGGGGCTCGGGAAATACTGGACCCTAAATTTGGGTAGGGAATGAAATAAAACAGTTATTGTTTACTTTAACTAGTAACAATTTGGTAATAATTATTTCATTGAAAGACACCTAAATGCAAGTTACAGTTAAATAACAAACCTTGCCAGGTATCATTTGAACTGTCATCCCAAGAGCCTGGGAAAAAAAAGATATTGTGTTACAACTTTTAATGAACTTTGTTGGATACAAAGTATCTATAAACACATTGGTTAACATGCAGGGTTCTCATGAAAAGATGAGTGGTAGGATAGTATTCTCCTCATCAGAAAAAAAAATTTCTCAAGCCATTGAAATTAAATGCAAAATTCTTTTTAGTAGCCATATGAAAAAGGAGAAATGGCTACTATACTGGCCCCTTGATCTAAAGACCTTATCTAATCCCATGTACTCTGACACTTTTACTGCTACCTCAGGGTTGAAGACACAAGGAAAGATTGAGAGAGGAGAAAAAGGAGAACTCTATGGTGATTTTCAAGTGGAAAGGGGTAAATAATAAAGCCCTTAACTAAGTGAATTTTGAAGCATTAAGTGAAGCAGACAACTGAAGGAAATAGGTTTTTAAGATTTACATGAAAATAATGGATTAACATTATCATAATACCTGAGGGATAACAAGAATATCTGAAAAGATAATGGCTGCATCCAGAGGAAATCTTCGTATAGGCTGAGGGAAAAAAAATAAGTATATTCTTGAACTGAGTGTAAGAAAATACAACCTAGCCTTTATTGACCCTTCACACCCTAACATCAGTCTGCATATTCTCTAGACTCTTCATTATTCATTTCCCAAGGTGCTGACAAGGAGAATTTGTTTAGTAATCAAGAGCTTCTTTTGTATAGGCTGAGGGAAAAAAAATAAGTATATTCTTGAACTGAGTGTAAGAAAATACAACCAAGCCTTTATTGACCCTTCACACCCTAACATCAGTCTGCATATTCTCTAGACTCTTCATTATTCATTTCCCAAGGTGCTGACAAGGAGAATTTGTTTAGTAATCAAGAGCTTCTTTTGTTGTGATCATTTCCTTTATTCTCATGACCTTAATAAGTGATCAGCAGTTATACTGTAAGGAGAAATTAGATGCTGGTCACTCTTAGGGTTTATAGGTTTAAGCACACTGTTGGCCTAAAGCTTCAAAAATCAAGAGATCATTCATTTATTACTAAAGAGGAGTAGAATGACTTTAAATTTTTTTGAAATTTAACCACAGAAGTCTCATAATTTTGTACCTGGAGAGTTAGTTCACAAGCCAGCTCTGGAGTCTGTACCATCTTGAAAAAATCAGCATCGTTTTCTGCTTTTAATTTCAGGAATTCTGAAAGATCACAATTCCAATCAAAAAAGTAAATTGTCCTTTTCGTGATCTAACAACTTTCGAGGTGTATCACATTACTAATTTTTTAAAAATTATTGTAATGATATTTCATCAGCCAAGACAAATTATCATAAAATGGAGTGGAAGGTTTAAAAAAACTTCTTCGTAAATCACTTAATTGATGTTCCCCAATGCTTTCTTACTACTGAGAATTTTAAGTCTTTAATGAATGAAATATTACATAAATTTTACTTAATAATCCCGATCATCTCATTATGGTGTCAAATCAATGAGAAGATGGAACACCTGACAAAGAAATAAAGGTAGAATTGTAGCTTCCTCGTAATTGGATGGGTCTCTTAAATATACAAGATTTTCAGACGGCAATACCAATTACATAAGTCCAGTTTTTCCTTTCTTAAAAAGTGTTGTGTCACTGTCACGAAAGTTCCTCACCTGGCAGATAGCGACCCGCTTGCCGCATGACCCAAATGGGTGCTCGCTCTGTCACTTCGCCACGCGCAGCTCGTAAAATCAGATCATTTTTCAGCTCTGGGAAACCATTCTCCATTTCACAATTGGCCATCTTACAATAAATTTTCCTTCTCCAAACTCACGAGTTCCGGAAAAGTACATGGCATAGAACGGGGCGGGGAGCTGGGTTCCATTTTCCGCGCAAAGGTCCACGGGTTACTTCACAAGGGTCGCCATTTTGCCGGGGTCTACAGGATGTTGGGATTAATTTCTCGTCAAGCGCCTCGTCTTTTGAAACAACCAGGATCTTTGATCTTCAGGAGAAGTCTCGCTGATGGTAGCCCTGCGGTTTCTCTTACATTTGGATCGCCTTCAGAGGTATGTTTTGAATAGAAGACACTTCTGTAACAACATGTGCACGGGTTACCACCATTCTATGATTTACAGATCTAATATAAATTTTGGATAATCTAACCATCGTATTGAGGGACTCTTTGAGGTTGAATGTTTATATGTGCTTGGAAATTAAATTGGATATTAATTAAAATCATACAGTTGGTTGAGGCGATGTGTCAAATTAACAGCTGTTGATTACTCAATGTTATTCATCAAAATCAACACAGCTTCAAATATTAGTTCTTCAGATGGAAATCTTTCGGAAGTAGTTCAAACATGTGTCCATGATGGATTTGTAGTGAGCCAGTTATGAATTACCTCTAGCCTTCTGCATTCATCACACTTCTACACCCAGTTGTTCAACAGCTCTCAAATACATGTAAACTTTTGCCATATCCTCCTACTAAATGAATGTGGGAATACTCGCCCATCACACCCTAATATTGATAGATCTGCATATTCTCCATACTATTCTCCATACATTTTGTAAGGTGCTGACAAAGAGAACTTGTTTGAGAGTCAAGAGCCTCTTAAGTTGGCTACCGTTTGATTTATTCTCATCACCATAATAGTTGATTTAGTAGTGATACTGTGAGGAGAAGGTAGATTTTAGTCACTCTTAAGAGTTCAAGGGTTAAAGCACCTTGGGATAATTGACTGTGAACGATTTTCTCCAAGTAAGTTGAGGATACTCCACATTGTGGTCATTAACTATTTGATAGTCAAGAACAGCAATTTTTCATGATTACATTACATTTAAAAGAATAGTTTTGGCTTTTGGCCAATCAATTTGTTTCTGTTTTTTGTTTAGTCATTTTATTCAGAAGCTGAAGTGAAGCAAGTTGATCTTTCAACCACAGCTGGTAGTTTTGGTATTCTGGCCAATCATGTTCCCACTCTGGCAACTCTGCGACCAGGCCTTTTGACTGTGACTGATGAGGAAGGTGTTCATAAATATTTTGGTGAGTATTGAAAATAGAGTTATAGAGGTTAGTGAAAAATGGTTATTCAGTGTTTGAAACAGGCATACTCAGAAATAACAAACTTTTAGTTTTCCCAAAAGGAGTTGTAACTATGACCTTCTCATTGGTACTTGAGATACTCATGCTTTCCAGTTGTACAAACATGGCTTCCAGTCTCCTCCTAATCTGAGTCTACTCATGTTGTTCTTGATCATTTAATAATTCTTGTTAATTCAGGATTACTGACAAACTCAAAAAACAGTGAATACTTGAAATATTTCAGAAATGTTTATTAAGTTGAGATAAGTCACCTAGATGTTATTAAACTAAAATACCACAAACTCATAACATGAACTATTTCATTTAATCTTTTGTTCATTTTGATACTTCATTCCTGTAATATCTCTGTGCTCTTAGGTATCTCACTTTGCCAGCAAAACTTTTTGAAGGATTTTAATCTCCTGTTTTTTAAGATTTTTCCAACAGATGAGTTTAGAGGTTTTATTGATTAACTTAAAATCAACTTTAGATTTTGCACTTATATAAATCATACCAAAACAATGAATAGTTGTGGTTGGGAATATGATGTCTTGTATAACTAGGGGTGTATAACTGCATGGATTGTTTAGAGTTAACTTGCTGCGAGAGATGGGGGCACTGACTTTCCTTTCAACTTCCTCTTTCCAGCAAGCAGTGGTACAGTGACCATTAATGCTGACTCTACAGTTCAAATTCTTGCTGAGGAAGCCCATCCCATAGACAGATTCGATCCACAGGTATGTCATTTAACCTTTTAAATTCAGGATCTGATTGTAAATTCTCCCCTTTAGCCATCACGCATTTCCTTGTAAATAAGTTATCAGAATTTAGTGTCAGATCAAGATCACTCATACCTCATAAGTTTGAGTATTCTCATTACCTGTTTGCTTGGCAGTGTAGTGATAATAATTATTATTGGAAGATGTTACATGTTACTCACTTCTGGGAATAAAAGTGTTTAATACATGTAGCTAGAACCAAACTGTATTTACTCCAGCAGGGAGAATTTCTTTTTTCAGACACCCAAATGTAGGACTCTGGCAATTCTTTATTTAAAGCTCAGAATTACAGTAGCATGTGGCAGTTAGAGACAATACATATAACCCTTTTGCTTCCAAGATCAACTGTCAAATTCTCAGTGCCATCTGTCTTAAATTTTGCAAGTTTTTTTGCAATGAGAGTTTGATGTGAAATCAAACAGTATTCCTTTGATGATGTTTTTCTTTCTTCTCATCACCCATCTGGTTGAAAATGTTTTGATCCTGAAAAGAGAAATCCCCTCCCCCCCCTCCCCCCTGTCACGCTTGTGGTAGTGGAAGGGTTAAGAGATTGAAATGAAAAGTTAATTTGGTTTTGCTTCTATAATTGAGTGATGGCCATATTTTCATGAACTACCTTAATCAATGAAGATTGTTACAATAGCTACTTTTTGTAAGTTCAAAGTACCCAACTTAAAATAAATCATTTAAAAAAATCAATATAGTAATGAATGTAGAAAAGGCTCTCGGGGTTCTTGTCAAATTTAATAACTGTCTTGTTTTCCTTATTCAGGCTGTTACCCAACAGTTAGATCAAGCTCAACAAAGCTTATCAAATGCAGCAAATGATGAAGAGAAAGCAAAAGCACAAATTGCAGTGGAGTGTCTAGATGCTTTAAATAAAGCCTTGGGACATTGATAATAACTCATTACTTCTCCTTTTTTTTTTTTTTTCTACTTGAATAAACTCTGAAAGGCACACAAGATTTGTACTGTGGTGGTGTTGGTGTAATGTTTGCCTCTAACCTGTAAAATCATCATTTGACAATGTATTAAGTTTTTGTGGCCTCTTCATAGCCCACCACTATTATATTTTGTCTTCAGAAAAAGTGGCAATGCAAATTACTTGTAGAGTTATTTTGTATTGAATAAAATGTGATTAAAGCTTACACACACTCTTTGCTACCATCAAATGAATGATAATATTAATTACCATTTTGTTTTTCTTGTCTGGGCTCGAACATTACACTTGTTTTGATTGGCACTTAAATGATTTTGGAGATAATATTTTATGCAAAATACAACACAGCTCTTGTAATTGTAGGGTTGAAAATAGGCCTTTAATAACTACTGCTGTACTGCTTCCTTTCATTGACTCTCTCCATTAACCCTTTAACTCCTATTAGTGACCAAGACAGAATTTCTCCTCACAATATCAATACAATATCAAGCAGACAAGTGATGAGAATAAATAATGGTAATTGAACTGAGTGGAGTGCAATTTGGGCTGAATTCATGTGATTCTAGCTATATTAAGGCCCGCTTTGATTCCAAAATTCAAAGAACCCGGGCCTTTTAGAAAATGAGATCCGAAGCTCTTTGCACTTATCAGAATTCAAGTGAACTCTATTTTCTCGTGACCACAATCTCTATACTTTCCTCTCTTTTGGTATCATCTCCGAGGCTGTTTGTATCATCACGATTTCAAGGTCATTTAATCAAATAACCATGGGCCCTGCTATATTTTGGGCGTTTTCTAATCTTAGTTCTCGATTTGAAATCAAGTATGATTTCAGACCAAAATTGCACAACACAGTTTTCTAATCAGGTTCAATTACCAAATACGATTGTTTTATTACATCCATTTTGAAATCGCCCAAATATAGGACTAGGTCAGTTCAAATATTTTATTAATACAATACTGAGCTGGTTTGAAATTAAATTCATCCATTTTTTTGGGAGGAAAAATAAGAGTTTTGGAAACTAAAAAAAGTTGCAAAATTTGCCACATGATAATCCATGTCTTTTCATCTTCCTGCAATATGATCGGATTTACTTTTTAAACAAACCTTGAAGTCTGATTGCAGTTGGTTTTTTTTTAGTGTAGCCTCCTCATTGGCTGGGGAAAAAGATTATAGTATTCTTGCATGTTAGTGAGCACCAAGTTAGTGCTCTTTGTCGTTTCGAAATTTTGAAAAAGTTCGCTTAGAATGCAGGAAAAAACGCGTGCTGCCTGTCAGGCGCTACGTCATGGGTCATCGTAATGGTAATTGAACTAATGCAATTTGGGCTGAATTCATGTGATTCGCGTGATTCGAGTTCGATTTGCAATATGATTTCAGACCAAAATTGCACAACACGAGGTTTAAACAAATCCATTTGAAATCGCCCAAATATAGGACTAGGTCAGTTCAAATATTTTATTTACAATACTGTTTGGTTTGAAATTAAATTCATCCAAGGAAAAAAAATGGTTTTGAAACAAAATTGCAAAATTTGAATAAATCCATGTCTTTCATCTTCCCAATTAGAGCCAATCAGATTACAGGGACCATCAGTGATTTCAAAATGGGTGAAATAAAGACAAATATCAATTTGGGGATAATTAGTTGATCCGATACTAAATTCTCTAAACTAACATTGTAAGAATTGTATGGTTGACAGTAAGGAGAATTACAAATTTGATCTGGGAGTTAAAGGGTTAAAGAAGCCCTGGCTAGAATTTCAAGGAAGTTAGATTTTAAAGTGAGCCCTTAACACCTCATTTTCTCCACGCACAGGCAATAGAAATCACTCAATCAATTATGTCAACATTGCATAAGATGTCATTCGGTGCAATGGACTTTCTGGGGAAAGAGAAAAATGCCTGTAGTACAAGTGGGCTCATTTCAGTAGTATCCCTTTGATCAGTCAACCCTTTTACTCTCAAGATCTTGTTAGTAATTCTCCTTACTGTTTACTATACAATTCTTGTGATGCTAGTTAGAAGAATTTGGTTTCAGATGAATTAATGATCCCCTAATTGACGATTTTCTTCATTCTGATCACTTATCTGTTCGACATTTTAAGGAGAAATTCTGCCTCGGTAACTCATAACAATCTGGGAGTCAAAGGGTTAAAAAGATAAACTAAAATTTTAGACCCATAGATGTGTATCTAGTTTTAAAAGCTATCACATTGTCATCCCTCAATGTATTTTCCACAGCATCGGTATCATTCAACCATCAACGCAACTCAGCTTACTTGTCCACCATGTTGAATATCAATATCGGTAGGATCCTGGGAACAAATAAGTCCATATTTCCCACAGGTCTTTTCGAGCGTAGTCTACTTCCGCCATATTGAACTTGTCTGAAAAGGTTTGGATATCGGTTTATTCGTGTAATCTTCGTACTAATGCAAGCTCCAATGTCATGAGTGTTTATGAGGAATTGACTGAAGTGTTTTGCCTAGTTGCAGGCACCCAGGCAAGGATAACAAATTATGACGGTCTTCTCACATCAGCGATTAATGGTAAGCTGGTAATTTTACGTTTAATTTGGCTTTTATTTGGATAATGTATTTGTAAATCTTAGGAAAACTGCAGAATACTTTGCTGCTGCACGATCCTTCTGTTTCCTCCACTTGTTTGAGCTGTTATAAACGAGGCGTTTAAATGCAGCAGTCACAACTTTGTATTCAATGAAATGCAAATGAGCTTTTGTTAAGGTAATCTGCAGCCAAGCTATAATTTAACTGAAATCGTCGATTTTATTTGTTGTGAAACTAGATCATTGATTATGGAGCTATTTCATATCCTCACTGAGAAAAGCTTTTTCTAAAGAGATTTTTCTATAACCAAATACCATTCCAAAACAAAGAAGTAGTTCCAAAAGGGAACTATTTTTTCTAGTCAATGGTTTCCTATATCAGTTAAATACGCATTTTGAAGTATGAGGCTTTATGGAAATCTTGCCCTTTTTACTGGTTGTTGAGGCATGTCCAAGTGTGATTTAATTTAACCCTTTCACTCCTTGTTAGTTCAGAGAATTTTTTATTTACATTTCTCTTCAATATCATCACTTTTCTGTTTGATACTGTATTGGTAGTAGTGGGTGAAATTCTGTCATGGTTACTAAAGAAATTTAAAAGGGCCAAGTCTCAAGTGTTAGGATTTTTTTCGGCTGTCCTATTAATATATACTGTAAACAACAGTACATAAGCCGCACCTTTTTCCCGAAATTTCTGTAACAGATCAGGGGTTAAACTTATCTGGGAGAACATCTGGAAATTGTGCAAGAAATTAAGTGTAAGTTAAACTATTCAATCAAAATTTTTTTCTTATCAAATGCCTGGCCACTAAGGTACAAATGATGCCAAAAATTAACTAAAGATTTCCTTCAAGTGTTTCTTTTCTGTGAATGCCACTTTTCTGTTGATGTTTATAGTAACTGACTGAATAATTGTTTGATTGACAGACTGACTGTATATCCCTGGTTCTCCTTTTATTTTTAAGAAATGTATCCAAAAAACTTCTTATTTCCCTTCTAAAAATTTGTTCTCAAACAAGCAACGTATAGCTGCTAAGTTTCACATTCATTGCCAATGTTTGCTTGATAATGTACTAAAAATTTGAGAATTTGAGAAATTTTGAATTTATTTATCAATTGGTATTTCATCTTATTTTCTCCAGGTCAGATGTCTGATGAACAAGTGGACCTGAAGCTTCAAGAGCAGATTTATTTCAGGATGCTTGTTTTATTTTGCAATCCAGCTGTAAGGTGAACCAGATAAACAAACTCTTTTAATAAGCCAAGCTTTGAGTTGATGCAAGGTGGTAAATGCATGATGCTGCTAACTTAGCACAAAGCAGCATCATTGCATGTGGGAAATAAACTTAAAATTCACCTCAGACATGCAGTGTATCAATTTATTGTGGATTAAGGTGGCACTTTTCGAGTTTTTTTGGAACAGTTGACTCTTTGATTTGCAATTCCAAAGAGGACTAGACTGCCAGATACTGTAGATGACTAGAAATTTATTTGAGAGAGCAAATTGTCACAAGAAGCTGTATTGGTGGTTTGTTTAATTTTAATATTTCCAAATTGAAGACTTACCAATTCACCATTGTTCTTATCACTACTGGATGAACTTAGGAACTGGTGCTGGGCAACATGTCTAGCATAGGGAACTGGCTACAACTGAGGTATCGTCAAGTGAAAAAAAAAGCTGAGGGTCCAAACCAATCTGATTTGCAAACTGAAAGTTCACTGACTGACAAACTGACTGACCAGCTAACTGACAAACAAAAAGACTTACTGACTGACTGTCCTATTGACTGATAGACTTACTGAGAGAGAGACTGATTGACTGACTGGTTATATGAATGAAAAACTGACTGACTGACTGGCTAGCTGACTGACTGACTGATAGACTGGCTTGCTGATAGAATGGTTGCCTGACTGACTGCCTGACAAAATGAAAGACTTGCATGCACTGACTAGCTAGCTGACTGACTGAATAACAGGCTCAATGGCAGGCTGAAAGACTGGCTAACTGACAGACTCACAGACTGACTGACACACTGAATGACAGACAAACTGATGGACTGATAGTCTCACTGACTGAGTAACAGATAGACAGACTGAAGGACTGACTGTCTGACTGACAGACTAAATGATGGACTTACTAGCATACCAAAAGATTGACTGACAGACAGACAGAGTGATGGGTGACAAGCTGACTGGCTGATGATCAGTTGCTCAGCCTGCTAGGGAAACATTTAGATGGACAGTCAGTGGCTTCACTGATTGTGAGCCATGCACACAGGGTATGGATGGAAGAGCATCAAATAGCAGTTTCTATACTTCAATTTGTCAACTGTTACAAAATATATTGGGGGTGACAAGACCTTGAATCCACAATAATAAGTACTCATTCAATAATGAAATAAATAGTTTATTGGTTGAGTGATGGTCTGCCTTAAAGTGACTCACTGACCTACATGTACCTTTTGTACAACATACCCCAGAACATGTTTGCTACAGTTCAGTTAAAGATCCAGAAAATTCTTCAAGGTTGTAGGAAATACAGAAACTTTACTTGGATGGAGAAAAAATTGAAATTTTAATAGAAAATGTTTGAAAAATTGAAATCATAGCACCACAATGCATTCAGTTGTCATTGTTTTTATTGAGGCCACAATTTTGTTGCCAAGTGCTATTGCTCTGGTAAATAACTGACTAACGTGTAGACTC